CTATCACGGACCGACCGCCGGAGAACCCCGCTGCCCAGCTGCTGCTCCGGATGCCGGGTAAGTGCCCCAGAGAGCCCCAGGACTTACCCGCACGTGGAGACTCTCCCACAGCCCCCCACCGCCCATGCCGCCGGGGTACCCCTGCCCTGCGTCCCAGCCGCTGCCCCGTCTGCGGACTGGGGACCCCTGCGGTGTGTCCAAGCCGCCGCCGCCACCGCTGCCTGGGACGTCGAGCGACCTCAGCCCCGCTCCCCGGCTGCCGCTACCCGAGCAGCCCGGGGAGCCCAGCGGCATGCTCCAGCCGCCGCCGCCCGGGACGCCATGGGACCCCTGCCCCGCGTCTGGACCGCCGCTCCCTGAGCAGCCCAGGGAGCCATGTGGCGCGCCCTGGCCGGCGCTGCCGGGGCCACCAGGGGACCCCTGCCCCACTCCCTGCCCGCCGCCGCCCCTGCCCGGGCTGGCGTGGGACCCTTGCCCCGCTCCCCGGCTGCCGCTTCCCGAGCAGTCCGGGGAGCCATGTGGCGTACTCAGGGAGCCCTGCGGTGTGCTGCCGCCGCCCAGAACTGCAGGTGACCCCTGCCCCGCGCCCTGGCCGCTGCCCCCCGGGCAGCCAGGAGAGCCCCGCGGCGCGCCTTGGCCACCACTGCCGCTGACGGACCCCTGCCCCGCTCCTCGGCCGCCGCTGCCGCTGACGGACCCCTGCCCCTCTCCTTGGCCGCTTTGGCCCAAGCGGACCCGCGGCGCGCCGCTGCTGCTCGGGCCACTTTGGGACCCCTGCCCCGCTCCCCGTCTGCCACTACCTGAGCGGACCGGGGAGCCCTTGTTATACCAATAAAAACTAGCAAGATCTTATTAAAGGGGACAAGATAAAGATGCCACATTTATTATGATAACAATTTGATTTATGTCCAATAACTAATATTTTAATCCTAATACACAGACATTATACCTAATACCTACACACACACACACACACACACACACACATCCATCAGATGTTCTGCAGCTGCTGCATAGTTACCAGTCCTGCTTGAGTCTGTGGCTTGAGTTTGCAGCTTGGGTTCGTAGCTTGTGGTGGCTAACTGGCCAGGAAAGCCGGGCACAAGGACGAGCTGGGTCTCTGTTGGGCATGCACTGATGCCCTTCCATGTTGGCAGCAGAATGTTACCTTCCTCCAAAGTTTTCCATCTCACCCATCCTTTTTGTAGGCTTTAGTTTGAATCCAGAGTCTATAGGTCTTGCTGTGTCACGCTGCCTCCAGGTTTGGTGATTGATCACCTGTCAATTGCAGACATGACTTTCAGCCTGGGACCGGGCTTTGATCTTCCCTCTATTGTACCTTTTCTTTTTAGGGTGGATTCTTCTTACTTTGTTAGGGCTCTTGTCTGCATCTTCAGCCCTTGGTGTTTGAACTCTATTTAATCAGGACAGGCTGGGGCTGGAGGTTGATTCCATCATCCATACATACCTCATTCACACATCTAAACTAAACTAATAAGATTACAGCAGGGTTTGCAAAAATGAAGGTTGCAGCAAGCCCTTACAAAATGGAGTCAGCGTTTTAAAATGGGGTTTGAATTACAATATGGCAAACAGTGAACAGAAGTTACACTGTAGGCAAGTGTAATAAATGGTGAACAGAAATTACAATACTGAAACAGTGCAAGTCTCAGTGATTTAAGCAGGAATTGGATTGATAGTGAAACTTACAAAGGCAGAGTCTTTCACTCTATGCATCCGAAGAAGTGAGGTTTTTACTCACGAAAGCTTATGCCCAAATAAATCTGTTAGTCTTTAAGGTGCCACCAGACTCCTTGTTGTTCTTGTAGATACAGACTAACACGGCTACCCCCTGATACTTTACAAAGGCAGCTGACTGAACAGCTATTGCTCTTAACAAGCATTTTAATTGTTAATTAGCCAGTTATTGGGGTAACCGGTTTTATGAATGAATATTGTTTCATTCATAAAACTTTACTTATGAAGTTACATTAATAGAGTAAACAATTAAAAACAATTTCATTCATGAATCCTACACCCTGCGGCGTTCCCCAGCCACTGTCGCCGCCTCCTGGGATGCCGGGAGACCCCTGCCCCCTTCCTTGGCCGCCGCCGCCCCTGCCCGGGCCGGCATGGGACCTCTGCCCCGCTCCCCGGCTGCCGCTTCCCCAGCAGTCCGGGGAGCCATGCGG